CATAAAGACTTAGCAATTTTTGAAAAGTCTTTAATATATCGTCTGTAGAATTCAACATGTCCTAAAAAACTCGTAATTTTCCTTACATTTGTTGGATAAGGTAAATTAGCGATCACTTGAATTTTAGCAGGATCTACTTCCATACCATTTTCTTATATTTTATATCCTAATGCAATTCCTTCACTACCATAAATTGACATTTTTTCCAATTAACGACTAAATTTGTTTCTTCACAATGCTTAATAACTTTTGATAAATGTTCCAAAAATGAGTCAAATGAAGTTACAAATATTAAAAAATCATCCATAAAGTCTTCAATCCCTTTTTCAAGTAAATCACAAAAAATTGTCATCATATATCTTTGAAATGTAGTAGGGGCATTACATAAACCAAAGGGCATTCTTTTAAAAGCAAATGTGCCTTACAAACAAGTAAAAATTGTTTTCTCTTGATCCTCAGATGTTATTTGGATTTGGTGATAACCAGTATATCCATCTAGAAAACAAAAGTATTTATGCACATCTAGTCTATCCAGTATTTGATCTAGAAAGGGTAGTGGAAAGTGATCTTTCCTTGTACCAAGATTTAATTTTCTATAATTAATGCATATTAGCCACCCTGTGACTTGTCTAATAGATATTAATTCATTATGTTCATTCACAGTCACAGGTACTTCTCCTTTCTTAGGAACACAGTAAATTAGACTAATCCATGCACTATCTGAAATATGGTAGATAATTCCAGCATTTAACCACTTTAAAATTTATTTCTTAACAATTTCTTTCGTAACAGGTTTCAATCTCCTTTGAGGATCAGCCCTGGGTTTGTAGTTCTCTTCCATATGAATTATAAGCATACAAATTGAAGGACTGATTCCTTTAATATCAGCAATTGTCCATTCAAAGGCTTCCTTAAAATTTTTCAAAGTTTTCATCAAAATTTCTTCTTCTCCTATCATTAACTTTGAGGAAATTATAATTGGTAAAGTAGAGGATCACCTAAAAATACATATTTTAAATGATCAAGAAGTAATTTCAACTCAAGTTATGGAGGTTTTTCTATTGATGGACAAAATGATTTATCTTTTTATATCGTGCCCAAAATTTCAAAAATTTCTCAAACATAGTTTGAATCTTGCTTAATAAGGTCTTCACATTGATCTAATATCTCTTCTTGCTCGTATTCCTAATCTTTTACTTCAAAATTTTCTTCATAATTAGTTTTGAAATGATGTTCACCTAGATATCTTATAACATCCATTCTATAACATTCATCATCTTTACCTTTTTCAGGATATTTCATTGACCTTGAAATGTTAAAAGTAACAGTTTGATCATTGACGCGCATTGTTGATCATTGACGCGAATTGTAAAGCTACCAGAATCTTTAAGCTTTTCAGGAAGCTTCTTCCGAATAATTGCACTGCATTCTTCACTAAGTACAACAGTCTCATTATCTTCAAACTTCCTTTTCCTGTTGAGAATATCCTTCATAAACTTTACATAGCTTAACATTTGTTCTAAGTCTTCAGCAAATTAAATATTAATTGTAAGCTTCTTAAAAATTTCTAGAAATTTTGAAAATTGCTAATCCAACTTCTTTTGAAAAATTCTTTGAGGAAATGGAAGTGGTGATTTTTTTAAGTTAACTTTAAGTGGAGAAATAGGTCTTTCAGAATCTCTTGGAGCATCCTCTTTTGATTCTTCAATTTCTTCTCTCTCTACTTCACTTTCTTTTTGAATCCTACTTTCTAACTCTCTTCCGCTTCTAAGTTGAATGACTTCTACTTGCTCTTTATTCTGAACTTTTGGATTTGTTTCAGTATTACTAGGAAACGTTCTTTGGGATCTATTACTTAATGAATTTGTGATTTGTCTAAGTTAATTCTCAATATTTTAATTGTAGCTCCTTGGCTTTGTAACTGATTTTCCATTTTTAACACCACTTCTTCTCCTTAAATTTTTAATTACTGTTGAAACATGGAGGATAATTAGATCTATAATTATTATTCCCTTGGTTGTTCCAGTTTTCCAATGGGTTTACTGATTGTTCCTTCATTGCTGATTATTACCACCCATATTATTATTCCAATTTAAGTTGGGATGATTCTTCCAACCTTAGTTATAATAATTTGAATATGGGTTATTCTGCTTGTTATTTATGGCATTAAAAGTTTCTAATGATGCTTGTAAATCTACCATTTGGTCGAATGAATTCTCTTTAATCATAGCGATACATAGTGATAGGTTGAAAAAAATTCATTCCAA